TGGGCAGCGCCCGGCCTCGGGTGGTCTGAGTCTGGGGCCAGTCCCCGCAGGGGTCGGAAGGCAGAAGAAGGTGGGGCGACGCAAGGTCTTTCCCCATCGCCCTAGGGGCCACAACCCTTGACATCGCTTCTTTCCCTTCGGAAAATCCAGAGCTGCAAAATCAAACAGCCGGCAGACGTGGGGGCGCGGACCAGGAAACACGCGCTGCAGGCCGAGCCGGGCCTGGGCAGGAGGACGCCTGAGCAGACAGGGCCGGAACCGTGGGCGTGGCCAGCGCGATGGGTGGGGCGGACCCTGACCTCCGAGGGGGCGGGGCCAGCGCCGGGCGGGGCTCCTGTGGCGGGACCAGAGCTGGGCGGGGCCAGGGTGGGGGCGGGCCCTGAGGACCGGAACCGGGCGGGGAGGGTGGAGCTAAGCAGCGCCGGTCTCTAGCCGCCGGAGGCTTACGCGGCGGCGCGGGCGTTGTCGCGCTCTGCGGGCCTCCCCTTAGCCCATGACCAAAACATGCGAGGTTGCCTGGCCCTGCCCTGTCTCAGGCCCTCCGGTTTCATCTTGTGTTGTGGCAGGATGAGCGCGTGCCCGCTGTCTGTGGCCCCGGGACACCCAGCCTTCCCTCCCTCTAGTGGGAGAGGCGGGCAGGTGAAAGCCGGCGCTCCTTCGCGGGGGCCGGGGAGGGCGCGCTTCTTATCCGACACCTCTGGCGGTCAGGTACTGCACCATTTTTGACATCATTTACAGAGTACCAATAACCTGCTCAACCAGTACGTTGAATTGTATCGAAATTGAAAAGATACGTTGTATTGAAAGATACGTTTGTTTCCTAACCCTGGTACCCGTGATCATGACCTTCTTTGGAAACAGTCTTTGCAGATGTAATCAAGGTGAGATGAGAATGAGCTCCACTCCAGTAGGGCTGTAGTCTTCATAAGAGGAAGCAGAAAGTAGGAGAAACACAGAGGAAAAGGCTATGTGATGAGGGAAATGAAGACTGGAGTGATGCCGACGCAAGCCAAAGACTACCGGCAGCACCAGAAGCTGCGAAGAGGCAAGGAACGACCTTCCCTAGAGCCTCCGTCACTACCACAGCTACCTAGGTTTGGGGACTTAGACTCCAGAACTGTGAAGGAGTCACTTTCTGTTGTTTGGTGGCAAAGTAGTAACCAGTAAGAGGGGAAACCAGATCTTCAAGCCCAGTGATCCAACTCCAGAGATAGGTATTGCCACCTGGGAGTGAACATGGGTCAGGGACCCAGCCCAGCCTGGGAGTGCATCAAGACTCTGAAGAAAGTACTCTCAGCTAAGACCTGTCAGGGAGAGGGAGAGTTCCGTTTTGTTCCAGGGTGACACCTAGCAGTAGTCAGCTCCCCACACCTGGGGCTCTGCTGGCTTGGGTAGCCTCCCTGGGAAGCAGCTTTGTGAGGAGCTGGGTCTGCAGTTGTCTCAAGACTGAATCCCGGTCCTGGGCTGTGGTTTGTCCCTGGAGGTGGCCCTTAGATCCTCATGGTCCCTCAGCCTGGACTTGGCAGGGAGGGGCCTCTCAGCCAAATTTCAGTCCCATGTCTGTCTGTTTTGCCTGATGGGGACTCTGGCTCAGGACAGGTTGGCTTAAAAGTCCTTGCAGAACTTCCTGATGGTTTCTTCCAGGGAAGGCGTCCAGAGGGACCTGAGTGGCCTTTGCCTGGGTGGGAGCTGGGGCAAAGCCCGGCCTGGGGAAAGTCGAGCTTTCCCCAGAGTGCAGAGTGGTCAGGGCTGGGAAGGCTGGGGAGGGGAGGCCCCTCTGGCCCTCTGCAGCTTTGCCTGGGCTCTGAGCCTCCCCTTCCCTCCCTTCCTTAGAGACAGGGGCCACCTGGGGCATGGGAGGAGGGGCAGCCTGAGCCCGCGGTTTCCACTTGGAAGCCCTCTTTATTTGGCCTGGGATGGAGAAAGACTGGGGTCAGAGTGCACACATCCCCATGGAAACAGCAATGAGCCTGGCCCCTGGGGGACCCCAGCCCTGGTGGGGGATGGGGAGGCCAAGCAGGGTCTCAGGGGCTCCTTCAGCTAAGGGGTCTGGGCCTTACCTTTGTTAACAGCTCTTACAGAGGTGCTAACCATGAGGCTTTGAGGAGCAGGAAGGCAGAGAGGCCCTCAGGAGCAGCAGGAGGGCAGACTGTACCTCTTAAGGCTGCAGTTGCTGATGGAAGGTACTGAGTGTAGACAGCCAAAGTTTGGAGGTTTCAGAGAAGGGACAAGAGCTCCCCGACCCCCATACTGGGGATTGAGCCCTGGTACATGCTAGGCAAACACTCTACCACCTGAGCCATGGCCCCAGACCTTTTATATTTTGTTTTTGAGATAGGGTCCGGTTAACTTTGTCAGGCTGGCCTGGAACTCTTGATCCCTCTCTGCCTCTGCTTCTGGAGCAGCTGGGGTGATAGGTGTGCACCACCACACCTAGCTGGGACAAGAGCCTTGAAGAGACCAAAACAAGGGCCAGTCAGGCTGCTGCTGTTCCTGTGTGCCCTGCCCCACTTGGGGTCCATCCAGGGCCTGGGTTTCTACACTAAGAGCCCCACTGGCTTGTCTGAGACCTACCCTCCAAGAACAACCTCTCAGATAGCCTGCAGTCCCTGAAATGCTGCCCAGGCTTTCAAAACTTCCAATCTACCTGTGTGCCCAAATAGCTGCCTTGTAGGACAGAGGCATTGATTGGGAACCTGGTCTGGGAGCTGTAGATGAGTCTCCTTTCTCCCAGGATCTAACCTGTGAAATCCTGCATGGGCCTTTCCCTTTCTGCCTTGGAGTGCTGTATCACACAGGCCAGGGGTTGCTGGGTTCAGCTGGCCAGACTCACTGAAGGGGGCTTAGGAAGGCTCAAGCTAGGCGGGAAAAGACCAGCAAGTCCCAAATCAGTTTCTTTGAGAGAATCCAAACACACACTTGCATGTTCTGAATAAATTTGCATACTGATTGCACTATCCTAAATGCAGATTTTTTTTTTTTTGGAACAGTGTGCCTACCTCCAAATCTGTGAAATCAAATGAGCTATGGTGGTATTCCATGAGATGCTGGGGAGGCAGGTAGCCTTCAGGCTGTGTCCCAGAGGGACAAATGGATCCACAGTGGGCGAGGTCACCTCCTGTCCTTCCCACAGCCAGAGGGGTTTGGCCACTGCCCAATTGGACACCTTCCAGGGGCTCCTGGTGGCCCGAGAGGTTAAGTCCTGGCAGTAAATATTGTGGGGGCAGAGCATTTATCTGGCTGCTGCTGGACTCCACATCCTGCAGAGGCCTAACCATATTGTGTTTGGGTAAAAGGCAAACAGTTTGGAAGGCCTAGTTGGCCGCCAGCATGCCTTGGGCCCGTTCGTGGTGAAGCCTGTAGCAATGGACTACTGATCGAAGTAGGGAGTTGGGACTTGCTCTGTTCTCCTGCCCTGGAGGTGCATCCTGGACCCAGAGCCTCAAGATTCTCTGCTCATCTCCTTACTGGTTCTGCTTGATTTACATGGACAGTGCCCAAATTTGTTGTCTTGTTTTTACCCCTTTTAGACCAAAGCACTGGACTATGAGCACTCATGGGGTCGGAGAGATCTGGAGGCTGTGCAAACAGGCAGGAGGAAGGCTACAGTAGCAAGGGGGTGGCTGAGTCCTGGACTGCAGCACTGGCCATCCTGAATGCAGGAGTGTATCTGTGGGTGGCTTGAGGTTTCACGGGATAGTGTTGCAGCCTGCACTTCGGGGTGTCTAGGATGCATGGCCTTCTCCAAAGGCCGCTGCAGATGTAGACTAGAGCACTTAACGTCCCTGTTCCCGCACCCCTTCTGCTCCCCATCTCAGCACCGAGTTGGGGCAGAGGCACCAGAGGGACGTGAGGCAGGAAGAGGAGGCAGGGTGAGCGCGGCCCCGTACATGCTCTCCCAGGACAGTCCAGTCCGCAGCGGGGTGGAGGCTTGCCTGGGTCCCACGCTCTGAGTGCTCTGGTGGCCGCTCTCAGGAGCTTGGGAAGTTTACGGCTGGTTCCAGCGACACCTAGAGATAGGGCCCCGTACCCTAGCCTCCAGGGAGGCTAGGGGCCTAACTTCCGAAGAGCGGTCAGCAGACCCAAGGGTCTCTAACTGCACTTCCCGGCCTGGGCTCGCGGCGCACGCGCTCCCCATCCCCATTCTCCGGAAAGCTCGCTGGCCGCCCGCACGGACCGGGCTGATTCAGCGCCTGCGGGACTCTTCTCCGTGGCAACTGGGTATCGCTGGCGACAGTCTCTAAGCGCTCTCCCTAGCGTCCGGCCGCGTTATCTTTTGACAAGCGATCCCCGGCACTGGACTGCGACAGGCCAGCGCTCGGCGGAGCAGCAGGACCAGGCCCGCCCCCGACCGCCGCACCCAGTGCGCCCCGCAGACATCCTGAGGGACGTCCCGCCCCCGCCCGGTGCCCCGCGCCGCGTCGCCGTGTCCGGCCGCCCACGCCGCGAGCCGTGTGGGCTCCCGGCCCGCAGGACGCAGCTCCCGCCGACGGCCGGCGCTCGCACCCCGGACGCTGGGCGGGGCCGCCGCCTCCCGCGCTCCCCGTTTGCTTGAGGCCCGGCGCCCGCGTCCGCGCCCACGCCGGGCTCCGGGGCCGCGCGCGGCGATTGGGCGGCGGGCGTGACGTCACCGCGCCGGGGCTCGCCGCGGTTGCGGAGCTGGCCGCCGCCCGCGCGCCGGGCGAGGAGCGGGAGCGGGAGGGGAGCGGAGCGGGGCGGGCGCGTGCCCGGCGCCCCCAGCCGCTCTCGGGTCCGCCGTCGTCCCCGCGCGTCCCGCCGCTCGTCGCCCGCCGCGCGCGACCCCGGCGCGGATTTGAAAAGCCCGGTCCGCGGGCGCCGTGAGGCGGCAGCCAATCAGCGGCGCGCACTTTTCCCGCGGCTTCTGGGGCGGCGGCGGCCCCGGCGGCGGCGGCGGCGGGCGGGAGGCGCGGGGGCGGGGTCGGCGCCGCGCGCGGAGAGCCTCGGCCTGGCCGCGCTGCGCCCGCCGCCGCCGCCGCCGCCGCCCCCTCCCGCCGCCCTGCCGTCCGCGGTCTCGCGCCCGCCGCCGCCGCCGGACAGCCGCCGCCGGACAGCCGCCCGAGGATGCGACTCAGCGCAGGTCACTGGGGCCGCCGGCCAGCTGCCGTGGGCGCTAACCGCCGGCCGGGGACGGGAGGCCGGGCCGGGAGAGCGGGGACGCGAGGCCTGAGGGCCCGAGGGGGCGGCGGGAGGAGCGCGGCGCCCGGGGGCCCCCGAGGGCCGGAAAGGCGGGGAGGCCCGGCGAGGACGCGCGGCGCTGCGGAGGGCCGGGGACCGGGAGGACGCGGCCCGCGGCGCCGGCCGGACGCGGAGGGCCGGCTGCGACTAACGGGGCGGCGGGCGCGCGGCCATGTTGGGCCCGTGGGCCGGGGCTGCACCTGTGCCGGGCCGGCTGCGGCCGCCTTTGTTCCCGCGGCGCCGGGCGGGCAGGGCTGGCCTTTGTGCGGCGCGGGGCGCGGGGTCCGGGCGGCGCGGTGGGAGGGGCGGGCCGGGGTCCGGGGTCCGGGGTCCGGGCCGGGGTCGGCCGGCGCCGCTTTTTGTGTGCGGAAGCGCCCGGCGTTGACACTCGCGGCGCGGCCGTTGGTCAGCGCGGCGCGCCCCCGTCGGTCGTCCTGGGTCGGGCCGGCAGGTGGAGGCGCGGCGGGCCGGGCCCGGGTCCGCCCGCTGTCGTCGCGCCGCGCCCTCGGCCTCCGCCCCGCCGCCGGGCCGCAGCCCTCGGAGGCGCGGGGAACCGGCCCCGGTGTCGCCTGGTTTGCCGGAACAGTGGCTCAAAATCTCGACATTTAAAAACCGCTGGTCTTGACTTTCGGTGGGAAGAAAATGGACGAGGCTATGGCTCAGGCAGCACGGGGCTTTTCTGGCTTCTGAGCTCGGGACGAGGTTTGACGTTCAGGATTCACCGGTGTCAAACCTGGTGTTCCGACACGATTAGTGGTAATTGGGGTGGGTATGTCATAACGGACCCTGCCGAGAGGACGCCACTTTGGTAAGGTGTGTGTTAAGAATTAGGTTAGGAGTTCTTCAGTACCGCCAGCCTTCGCTCAGACTTCAAGGCCTCGGCTTTTAAATGAGTTAAATCCCAAGATCACGCGTGGATTTTGTGTTTTAAAGAGGGCTGTCAGCACAGAAAATAAATTAGAAATCATCGCATTTATGAAACCGAGACGAATTTTCTCAAGTGTTTAAAACGTCGTGGTTACATGTTAAGCGTATTAAAGAAGCACCACTCGAAACAGTAACACGAAGGAAACAAATCCTGTGTCTTGCTTCGGTGTGTATTTCATATGTGCTCCCAGTCCCCAGAACCGGGAGAGTTCAAATCTTAACTGCCAACTGCCGATGAAGAGGACTCATGCCTTACACACGATTACTTTGAGTCATTTCCTTTTCTTTCCTTCCATTTTCTCAGCCGCCCAGCAGCCTTCATTTTTGGGTGATGGTTGACAGGGGACTTAACTGCTAGCTTCAGAGTTTGTGTAAGCTTTTGTGAAGAACTCCAATCTATTAGGAACAAAAACTCCCTTTCTGGCCTCTGATTCCAACAGTCAACATTTCCATTTTACGAGTATCAGATAATTAACTTCATGAATTTCAAAGATTAATGGATGATTCTTATGTGTGTATCATGATATATTCGTATGTAATGTGTAAACTAACATGAAGTTAGTGAAGATATGCAGAGTAAAGTATGGTAAACAGGCTCCAACCATGACTACTAGGTTTATTTTTATGCAACCAAGTTATACTGGGCTATTAAACCAGTTACCCACTGGATGTGAGGAACCAAATGGAGACTAAGAACTGCAAGAATTAGAGACCCTGTGAGTAACTGAAGAGTGAGTCCAGCCTTCCATTCATTCAGATGTCTTCTCCTAGAAAGCAGTCAGATTTTACAAGGTTTGCTCACATAGCAGAATGTGAACTAGTTACTTCCTTCTTTATGATTTTGACAATTCTGTGTAAAATGTGCAAGTAGGTGGGATTAGACTTCTAGGGAGTGCTGGTGAGAGGCTACAGAACACTAATGAAATCGTGCACGTGAGCTACAAGATTCCCTTCACATGTAAATGGATGTGCTAAGATAGCACTCAAATTCATAATTCAAACTTATTTTTCCTTGTACTTTTTTTTTTTTTGGCAGTACTGGGGTTTGAATTCAGGGTTTCTTGCTTGCTAGGCATGCATTCTACCATTTGAGCCATATCCCCAGCACTTTTTGTCTTAGTTATTTTTCAAATAGGGTCTCATACTTTTGTATGGGTCTGTGATCCTCCTATTTACCCTTCCCTTGGGAAGACAGGCATGTATCACCATGACCACCTTTTTATTGGTTAAGATGGAGTCTTGCAACTTTTGGCCCCAGGCTGGCCTCTAACTCCAACTCAGACCTCCTGATGTCCATCTTCAGAGTAGCTGGGATTACAGGCTTGAGCCACCCAATATGGCCTTGCTATGTAGTGTTCCCCCCCCCCCCAAATGGGACTAGGGTTTAAACTCAGGGCTTTTGCACTTAGAAAGCAGGTGCTCACAAAGTAGGCACTCTACTGCTTGAGCTGCCCCTCCAGTCCATTTTGCTCTGGTTATTTTGGAGATGGAGGTCTTGTGAACGAGCCTTGAACTATGATCCTCCCAGTCTCAGCCTCCCAAGTAGCTAGGATGAGAAGCTTGATCCACTGGCACCCAGCCATTGCCCTGTACTTTCATGAGTAAATGTTAAAGAATTAGTGGGAACTGAAGACAGATTTTTTTTTTTTAATGTTCTGGAGATTTAAGCCCAGGGTCTTGAGTATTCTAGGTAAGTGCTCTACCACTGAACTGTATCCCAGTCCAGAAGACAGAAAATCTATTATGTCCATATTCTGGTAAAGTGGGTTTGTTGTTGTTGAACACGTACAGTGTTGGATAAACATCTTGGTCTTCAGATGAGGCCTTACTTTTCTCTTCTGCCTGATTTCAGTCAAATATGTGCTATCCTGTCCTGACTCCCACCCTTGTGTGGGCTGCTGTTTGGGATGGACCACAGTTAGTCTTCCTTTTCTGAGCATGGTGCACAGCCTTTAAAAGTCACTTGTGATTCTTCTCTCCTTTTGGATGAGCTCTTGGAGGAAGGACTCTGTTGTCACCTTGGTCTGTTTTGCCTGGTCTCTGCTGGTGCTTTCTCATGGCAGGTACTCAATAAATGCCAAATAAATGGGCATGTTGCTTAGGATAAACAAATAACTCATCTTAATGCCAGCATCTGTGCTTTTTGCCTTTTTTTTTTGTAAGTCATGTCAGAGCAGAAAGGGTTCTAAGAAACTGAGTGTGGAGAGGAAGAGTTTGGGCTGAAGTCACTGCTTTAACAGGGGAGGCGAACCTAAGTTTGCCATCCTGCTTTACTCACATGTTAAGTGGAAATCATCTAGGAAACATTGCAACCATGTAAGTGCAACAAGCAACAGACAATATGGAGCAAGAGTTTCTGTTGTATCTCATTGTTGATTTCTTTGTATCATTGGGAAAACTGCTAAAGTATACAAGATACAAAAAGTAAGAGGTAAAACCCAAGCCTCAGAGGATTAGGCTCATATTTATATATTATCTCAATATGACTTGTTAGTTTCTGGTTTTGGGAATGGTTATTTATAATGAACATTGTGGGGAGAAAAAGATTTAATGTTGGTTCCCAGGGATTTTTAAGCATTTTGCATTTGATTATTGGTTGCAGTACAGCTTCTGAAAGAGTTGATTGAGTTTATGAAATTTTATTTACTAGTTAAAAGTCAAGACAGACCATGCTGGGCCTGTCGGTGCACCTGTTAATTCCAGCTACTCGTAAGGTAGAGATTAAGAGGATCATGGTTTGAAGCCAGCCAGGGCAAAAAGATAGCCATACCCCATCTCAACAAATAAACTGGACATGGTGGGGCATGCTGGTAATCCTTGCAACAAGGGACGAATAAGTAGGAGGATCGCGATCCCAGCAAAAAGCAAGATCCCATCTGAAAAATAACTAAAGCAAAAAAGGGGTGGGGACATGGTTCAAATGGTACAGGATCTGCCTAGCAAGTACAAGGCCCTGAGTTCAAAATCCAGAGCTACAGAGGAAGAGAGATCAGGGATTCTGTTGCTTTTCAAGGTTCAAGACCCATCTCTCTCTCTCTCTCTCTCTCTCTCTCTCTCTCTCTCTCCCTCTCCCTCTCTCTCTCTCTCTCTTTCACACACACCCTTTTTTTTTTTTTTTTTTGGTGGGACTGGGGTTTGAACTCAGGACTTTGAGCTTACAAAGCCGGCACTCTACCACTTGAGCTATGCCTCCAGCCCATTTTGCTCTGGTTATTTTGGAGATGGAGGGTCTCCCTATTTCCCAAGGCTGGCCTTGAACTATGATCCTCCCAATCTCAGCCTCCCAAGTAGCTAGGATTGCGGGTGTGAACCATTGGAGCCCAGTATTACCCATCTATTGCTGGGCTTTCTGGCCTTTGCTGAATTTATTTTGCCCTTTCCTGACCCCTTTAGCCCATTTTCTTCTGCCATGTGTTTTTCCTGAGCTTTTGAACATTTAGTTTCTATTACTCTCCCATCCCATATACGTACATGCACCCCCCATCCCTATGTATGCCTGGGCTAGGCTTTTCCTATTAATCCCTTCAGTTAGGTCTCAGCTTGGGCCTCACTGGAAGGTTCCTGGTTTCCTGCCTGTTTTGAGAGACCCTTGCAGGCATGTCTTTATTATGGGGCTTTCTCATCCTTGCCTCCTCTTCACTTGTCTGTTTGCACCATGCTTGTTGCTTGCCTGCCCCAATTCCTAGTCTTGCTCTGTCTCAGATCACTGCAGTGCTGTTCCTTCTGCCTGGACTGCTCCTCAGATGACCGTGTGGCTTGCTCCTCACTCTTCTTCAGGTCTGTGCTCAAACTTCTCCTCAGGCACTGTCCCTTACTATTAGTTTAAAATATACCATTGCTGCTGGGGCGGTGGCTGAAGCTTGTAATCCCAGCTACTCAAGAGGCAAAGATCTTGAGGATTGAAGTTAGAGGCCAGCCCGAGCAAAAAGTTCGAGAGACCCCATCTCAACCAATGCCTGTGCTTAGTGGTTCATG